CATAGACTATATGGTTTCCAGGTACTGATATAGGGATTGAATCCACAACCTTTGGTTTCTGAGGCAAGAGTACTATCCACTAAGCCGAGAGGACGTCTCAAAGAGCTTGGTGCTGCTGGCTCGGGGTGAGAATCGAAGGGTGTGAGTAAGGGAAAAAATGAGCAGTCAGAGACATCTTGAGACAGGCATGAAATGATGGAAGGTTGCAAGCAAGTCCAATGGAATCGGATGAAATTTTTGAGAGCAAGGCCAGAATGAGTGAATGCTCATGTGCCAGTGGTGCAGTTCATAGGTTGGGAGGCATGAAACAGGCCAGCGTTTGCTGAGCAAAGGGAACAGCGTGGTCGGTAGTGTTGTAGGAAGTCAGACGTGTGTGATAGGGCTAGTCTGTGGAGAGATTGCTAGTCCGTGTGAGCTTGAAGATCTTGAATTCAAATTGACTTGATTTAAAGATCAAGTCTTTAAAGATCCTAAAGACTAGACTGTTCATAAAATCATAAATTTGAGAGTGGAATGAAGATTGGCTGACCATTTAGATTTATTGGTAAATTATGTGAGCTGACTTCCCAGAGGTAAAGGAAGCAGGTTGCCAGGACATTCAAGAGAATTGAATGTCTATTGGCCTAGAAATAATTTTGGAGTAGTGTGTTTAGAGCTTGTAAAAGGTTTACAAATTGATGTCTGAACAAGGTGAAGTGAGCATTTTAGGATGAAGAATAATAAGAGGCAGTATAAACTAGATGCTAGAACCTTAAAGGGAGTGAAGGAACAGAGAGACCTGGGGGTTCATTATAAGTAAATCTTTGAAGGTGATAGGACAGGTAGATAAAGCTGTTTATATTAAAAACACATACGGGATACAAGGCTATAAATAAGGGCATAGAATACAAAAGTCAGGAAGTTAAGATGAACCTTTATAAAACACTGGTTAGGCCTCAGTTAGAGTATTGTGTTCAGTTCTGGGTCCACACTTTAGGAAGGATGTCAAGGAATTGGAGAGGATGCAAAGGAGATTTACCAGGATGGTAGCAGGAATGAGGGACTTCAGTTATGAGGAGAGGTAGAGAAGCTCGGATTATTCTCTTTAGAACAGAGAAGGTTAATAGGAGACTTAATAGAGGTTTTCAAAATTATGACGGGATTTAATAGGATGAACAAGGAGAAACTATTTCCACTGTCGGGTGGGTCAGTAACTCGAGGACACCGATTTAAAATAATTGTTAAAAGAACGGGCGGTGAGCAGAAATGTTTTCACACAGCGAGTTGTTCGGATCTGGAATGCATTGCCTGAAAGGGTGGGGGAAGCCGACTGGATAACAGCTTTTAAGAGAGAATGGCCTCTTTCTGTGCTGTATAATTCTGTGATTCTAAGGCGGAGTATGTGCTAGTGTGGTAAGTTTAAAACCTCCTGTTAATTGTTATATCAAATATGGTGGTGACGCCTATATGTCTTTGCCTCTTTGGCGCAAGTATTGCTGCTTAATTTTGTTTATTCTGGAGGGCCAACTCCTTAAGAATATATCACTTTTGAATGTATGGTATAGGCTAATCAGAACTATTGGTGGGGAGGAAATGGCCCCACCAAAAAATTCACCATCAATTTTCCCTTATAAAGATCCTCCATTTCCCTCTCCTAGGTAATGTTATTGGTTAGGCATCTAGTCTGATACAAAGGGCTGAATTTTATATTGATCAGCAAGACTGCATAGGTTAGCTCATTAACATTTGATTTGGCTTGTGGATTATGGAGTTCTGTGAAAGTAACACTAAAGCCGTGACTAGTAAATTTCGCCTCGAGTCTGTATATCCCGTGAAAAACTTTGACATCGGCCGACGGGAAAGGGGCCGCAGTATATCAAATGCAAATAATAGTAGGGGAACCTGAAACTGATTCCTGTGATCCTCTCCCTCAATCTTGCCCTCCAAATAAACGTGTGTTCGTGACCATTCACTTAACTTTGCTATTGCAAAAGGCCTCACCTTAAAATTACTGAACTTGACCGTTTCTGATTACGGTTCTTCACCATTCATCTCCCGGTTCCCAGGTTGAACCCCTCCACCTTTTCTTTCCTCACATGGAGTAAAATTGCCCCCTTTGTTCCACACCAGTCGTTTGAACTTCTACCTCTTCGTTAGCCGCTCACCTACCAATGCCTTAGAGCCTCAACTGATCTGGTCAAAACATGTTCTTTTCAATACCTTTTATCCCTGTCAGATCGTAATCTCCCATCCTTGCTAATTCCTCACTTTTCTTTTCTTTGTGAAAGCTGCTGTCTAAATGCAGGGTAGTTGCCACTGGGAATCCTATATTAAAGTCAGCCGGGTTGTATTCATGTGCACTAAACCTTTTAGCTGTTCTAAGCTTTCATGTTCTATGACATTTACTTAATAATAATAATCTTTGCATTCGATACCGCGCTTTTCATGTCTTCAAGACATCTCAAAGCGTTTCACAGAATACACTGTAAAGTGAATTGACTACATTTGTGGGCAAAACGCGGCAGCCAATTGCCCAGCAGCGTCCTACAAACAGTCGAGTTTAAAAGTCGTGTTTGATTTGATCAATGTTGCCATTTCCTACTGTCTGGAGGTAGGACGTTGTTACTGTGCCCAAAGGCATAAACGATATTGATGAATGCACTTGTACAATTTTGGGTCTCCAGTGGCTGGCTACATACGCCTGCCCAATGGTAACCAGAAATGTACAGGACTCAAAAGATTGTTGCTGTCAATTTGACCAATCCCAAAAAATTTTTTTTAAAATTACTCCGTTCTTATCACTTCAATTGAATTCTGTGCCAAATAATCATTTAAATTGCTCCACAATCTGCCTCTGGCTAATCTAATCCCCATATTGCATTAACTACTCTATAAAAATTAAACATCTGAACTTGAGGCCGTGCTCAAATTCAGTAATTCCAGTAATTGTTCAAAAGTTCACCTTGAGCAATTACTGGAGTAATAATAATAATAATCCTTGCATTTGATACAGCGCTTTTCACGTCTTCTAAACGTCCCAAAGCGCTTCACAGAATATACTGTAAAGTGAATTGACTGTATATTTGTGGGCGAACGCGGCAGCCAATTGTGCACAGCAGTGTAGTAAGACTTGACTGGTTCATGTAAGGGCTGTGGGTGCTCAGTTTGTCAGGGCAGTGCTGTTTCTCCAAATGAGTAGAATTGTCAGAGGTCTGATTACACCAAACTGTCCTATTTTGTCATAATGCAGTAGTATTAACCTTTGTAGTTGTATGTGCTATCAGTGATCAATATTGATGTAATGCGCTTGTACAATTTTATATAACCTTAGCAATAAAATTAAAGGGGTTGAAGGGAGTTGAGCCCTGCTTCATTGCAGGTAGGTTTCTAAACTCTTAAGAAGCTCCTCTTCCGTTACATGATTTTCCTCCTCCTGTGCTGAAGGTGTTTGTCTATTCACATATAGTTTCACGGGTACCTTGCAAATGGCCATTGATGTGCAAACCTTAACAGCTTAGTCTAGTGCCAGCTGAGTGCAGTATTTGACTGCAAATCCCATGATGTCTGAACCCGATACTGACCTAGCAGGGGTCTCTGGACATGGGGAGCTAAGATCTGTGTTGTCCTACAGCATCTAAAGGCAACTTTATAATAGATTGACCATTTTTTAAAAAAAAGTTAGGATGCAGAATTTACATTCAGTGCATTGAAGGCTCTTCTTCCAACCCAAATAGTTGTTGCATTCAAGTAGATTCTTCTGCCCTTTAAAAAATCTTTAAGGTCAAATGTTTTGAGATTATATCAAATAAAAAGACAATATGAAAGAAATGGCAGAGATTGACAATTTACATTATATATGTTGAATTGATCAATGTTGCTATTGCCTACTGTCTGGAGGTAAGAAGTTGTTACTGTACTAGAGAGAAGTGCCTAAAATCAAAACTGCTATGACCATTTTTTAAAAAATGTATACGCAGTATTGCATTCAATTGATTTCTTACATGTCTAATGCTTTGGTCTTGTCATTAATGTATTTACTGACTGGATTCTGACAAATTCTAAACCAAATGCAAGAATTATTATTAAACTGCAGAATAGTTACTGAAGCTCATTCAATGTAGACTTGCAAACGGGGGTGGGTAATAAGTTTCATATTAAAATGGCTGAGTAGATGACCAGTAGTTATTTGGAGTAATAATAATAATAATAATCCTTGCATTTGATATAGCGCTTTTCACGTCGGGAGGACGTCCCAAAGCGCTTCACAGAACACACTGTAAAGTGAATTGACTGTATATTTGTGGGCGAACGCGGCAGCCAATTGCGCACAGCAATGTCCCACAAACAGTCGTAGATTGAAAATGACCAATTTATTATTGTTTTTGGTTTTGGAGGGATTATTAGGCGTGTGGAGTAAGGAAACTTGCCCAAGGTTTCGCCCTGCCTGGAATTGAACTCAGGTCTCTCACTTGCAAAGCGATAAAGTAATAAAACCAGAAGAGCTGTAGATGTCTATGCAGAATCAGAGGCTCTGGAAGAAGGCGAATAATGTGCTGTTAAAGTCAGGACATGTGGAGTTGAGGGTATGGTAGCAGAATTGATTGAGAGATTACTGAAAAAAATAGAAAACAAAGTAAACAACAGCTTCTCATGCTGGCAAGAAATAGGAAGTGTTGATCTATACTTGGACTGCTACTGTTCACAGGTACATCAATGATTTGGACTCAGATATAGGAGGTTTGTTGTCAATTCAAATGCCACTAATCTGAGGGTGTTCGAAATAACTGGATTGCGAAAAGTTGCAGGAAGATCAAACTAGGCTGACAGAATGGCAGATAGGTGGAAGATCAATTTGATTCACTTCAGTCGGAAGAATATTTGACACGAGGCAGAAGGGAATAGGACTGGGAGCTCATGTGGCGAACAGTCACCTGTATGGACTAAATGGGCCAAATGGCATCTATCTGAAATTCCAGAATGTATAAGAAATTTAAATAACATTTGTGTGTTTTTCATTACAGCAGTTCTGTGGTGTTCTAGGTCACACATTTATGGAGTTTCTGAAGGGCAGTGGAGACTACTGCCAGGCACAGCACGACGTCTATGCAGACAAGTGAACTGTAGAAATCTGTTGGTGTTACACTCAGAAGACCCTTTAAGAGCCGCTTTACCAGCAGCTGGCTGTTACCTGAGTAGAAAAGCGCTTGATTCATCTGCGACCATATCTGGATGGGGTAACTTCAAGTGGGCTGTTTTTCATTGGTCACAGTGTTGCTGGATCGAAGTCAAAAGCTTCATCAAGAGCCTCCATTCTTCCAGCTTCATACTTACAAGTGCTCAGTCTCCAGTGGAATTTGATAATTGGGCCTTGGTATTAAATTTGGCTCTCTTCAGGCGCCCCACATTCAAATTTGCGCACAATTTTTTTAGCAAATTTTTCAAGTTTTTTGTGCCATTTTAAGAAAATGGCTCGAATGAATCGCCCAGCCCCTGTGGAAATCACCTACAAGAACATGAGATTTCTGATCACCCACAACCCCACCAATGCAACCTTAAATAAGTTCATAGAGGTAAGAGTTTAAACAACAACTACCAAACATTACATTTGTATAGTTCCTTTCACGTAGGGAGGGCATTCCAAGGCACCTGATAGTCAGGGATTTGATCTCAAGCTGGAGTTGGGATCAGGCGGAGTGGGTGGGGGTCGGAAGGTGACTGAAGGCTTGGTTGATGAGGAGGGTCTTGAGACGGGCCTTGAAGGAGGCAAGGGAGGGAGTGCGATGAAGGGTCTCCGGGATGGGTTTCCAAAGGGTGGGGAGCAAAGAGATTGAAGGCCCTGATCGATGGTGGGGTGGGCAAGGTTCATGGAGCAGGTGCAATCCGCTAAGCAGAGGGAGCGGACAGGTCGATTTAGAATTAGCAGAGATTAGAGAGCAGCAAAAAGAACTACACACTGGCATAGAGGTAAAGAACAAAAGGAAGCCTGTGGGTTTTGTATGTTAAGCATGACTAGATATTGCACATCTAATCCAGCCTTCTTATCATCTTGGGGGTAGGGTAGAGGACAGAAGTAAAATGGTAATCAGGGTCTACTTGGAGCTGAGTTGGCTTCAAGGGTGATACACCTGATAATGGAATCAGAATCAAGTTGATTGGTGGCAGTCTGGGATGTCTTGTCTCTGAACCATCTGAGTCTGCAGTACTCTTGGTCCTGCTTTGACCATGATAACTAAAGTTGCAACTTTGCTAATTATTAACTTGAGCAAGTTAACAGGGCATCTGATGCCTATCAAATTTGACCTTATCAGTGCCTTCAGGAGAGGTGATACAATTATGGTATGGGGTACATCTGATTATTTGTATGTTTCAGGAGTTAAAAAAGTACAGCGTTACCACAGTAGTTCGAGTATGTGAAGCCACCTATGACACTTCCCTGGTTGAAAAAGAAGGTATTCAATTTTTGGTAAGTACCCTGACACTGATTCAGTTTTAAATCTCCAGCTTGTTCCATTACCTGTTTAGTGAGTGTTTTATTGCAGTCTGACCTGGAATTTACTGGGTTAGTTTTAAGTGCAGACATAGGAGTTCCAAGAACTACCACTCCATTCTCACTTTTAGATTCTTTTTGTGCCCAGACTGATGACACCAGGTTCCTCTGCTGACTATTTTGCATTGAATTGAGTTTCCTCAAAAACGTGATAAGGCGCTATATCAAATCCCAGTATTATTATTATATGGGAATGCCATCCTGGAACAGTTGGATGTACTTGGATTGAAGGAGTTATACCTTTGTTTGGCAGTTTGCTGTGAAGGGCTTTACCCTCAACTCTCAATTCAAAAGAACCCGGTTTCTCCCAAGTTCTTGTAAACTTGTATTTCCTGCTATTGAAATTTACAACCAAATTCAGATTGGTGAGTCACATAACATCTGTAATTTTATTTTGTAAAGCATTTGTTTTTTTAACCAGAAATTCTATATACAAACAAGTAGCTAAGTGTGTAGAGCACTCGCTTTGCAAGCGAGAGACCTGAGTTCAATCCCAGGCAGAGGGCGAAACCTTGGGCAAGTTTCCTTACTCCACACAGAGCCTAATAATAATCCCTCCAAAACCAAAAACAATAAAAAATTGGTCATTTTCAATCTATGACTGTTTGTGGGACATTGCTGTGCGCAATTGGCTGCCGCGTTCGCCCACAAATATGCAGTCAATTCACTTTACAGTGTCTTCTGTGAAGCGCTTTGGGACGTCCTCCCGACGTGAAAAGCGCTATATCAAATGCAAGGATTATTATTATTATTAAGTATTCGACGCACATCTAAAAGTTAGCTGCAAACGGTTTTGTACTGATTATGGAGTATTAAGGACTGTTTTAATGCAATGTGGATGAAATGATGTGAAAGGTTTCTGTAGGTTGAAATTTGCTTTCTTCAACAGGACTGGCCATTCGACGATGGTGCCCCACCTTCAAATCAGATTGTGGATGATTGGCTTAGCCTTCTCAAAGCTAAGTTCCGTGAAGAACCTGGCTGTTGCATTGCTGTTCACTGTGTGGCAGGACTTGGAAGGTATATATACAGTAATTGCCATTCTCCAGATGTTACTGTATTGTGCGTAAAATGTATAGTATACTTTAGTCAGCAACTTAGAAAGATTTTGAATTGAGGTAGATGTCATGCGCTGCTTTTTTCTTTATACTCTTACAATACAACTCCCTTTTGTGCACGTTGGGAATTTTGGACTACATGTTGTATGCTGTACTGTTTGATCCGTCACATATCCATGTGAAAAGAAAGGAATGACCTTTAAGTCCTTCTATGTACTGTAGTTGTGTAACAGTTTCTCTTTGGAACAGAACAGTGGTGTTGGTTTCAATCACTTTGCAACTTGAGCATCAGTGTAGAACAAATGTGGTCATTATTTGTAATCTCTCAACATGGTTCCTTGTGACAGGTTTCTTGCTTTTCTTTTAACTGATACTTGAGATTTGTGTTCTGAATATTAATATGATTGTATGGCTATCTAGGTTTTGTGAGGGGGAGTCTGTTCTTAATAGAAACATTGGCAATATCTGAATGCAGATAAATGTTCTTAATGATCAAAAGGGCCAGATGAATCAGTGAGTGAATGTGCTGTCCTTTTGCTTATGGGACCCTGGTTAGAATCCGAATTGATCGTCTCCCAGTTATAAGCAGCTTTAATGAATATGTAAGCACTCAAAATTATTCCTGATGAATGCACAATAACCACCCTATAAAATGATGACTGGACAATGATAGAGTAGGGGTGCAGCTCTAAATTGATTGATTCACCTTGCTGGGAGCAGATTAGAGTGATAAATAGTATATTCTAAATGGGCAGCACGAGGATGGATAGACGAAAAGAGATCTAAGGCTTCAGAGTCTTATCATTGAAATTCAAAACGTAAGTGCAGAAAACTATCGAGCAAAAGATGCCGGCACTTATTTGTAGATGCAGAACTCATTTGGAGCTTTGTTCAGTTTGGTGCACCTAATCTTTTGAAGCATATACTGGTCTCGGAGAGTGTTCCGTTTTCTAAACTAATAACTGGGCTAAAGCGGTTTAGCTATGATGAGAGGCAGGGTAGACTGGGGTTGCATTCCTTGGGATAGAGGTGGTTAAGTGGTAATTTGTTTAACACATTTAAAATAATGAAAGGAATTGACAGGCTAGATAGTGGGCAACTCTTCCTCTTAGTAGAGGCATTCATTACAAGGAAGCATAGTCTTAATATCAGTTAAGATCGTTAGAACTGAGGTCATGAAGTATTTGTGAACAGTTGTGAAAATGTGGAATGTTCGTCCCCAGAAATCTGTAGAGGTGGGATCAATAGGGAATTTTAAAAGATAATTTGGTAGTAAATTGGTTTGGTGAGAAGGCAAGGAATTGGGATTAAAATCCTATGAACTGATGGAACAGGCGTGATGAGCTGAGTGTCCTCCTCCTGTTTAGGTTCCTAAAAGCTACACCTGATGGAGGAATTCTTGAACCTAACAGTTGCTACAAAGGTGGAAAACATGCTTTCCCCTTGGGCTGATGTCCTTCGTCTTAGTAATTGTGAGAGTGATGGAAACAAAAGTTTTGGCTGCTGTAATAGCTATAAATTTGTTTTGATAAGCAAGGTTTCTGACACAGTGAAAGCCGTGAAGTCCTGTAGCTCAGTGGTTAGAGCACTTGCCTCACAACGAGAGACCTGGGTTCAATTCCCGGCAGGGTGAAACCTTGGGCAAGTTTCCTTACTCCACACGCCTAATAATAATCCTTCAAGAAAAAAATAATAAAATTGGTCACTTCAGTCCACAACTGTTTGTGGGACGCTGCTGTGCGCATTTGGCTGCTGTGTTTCATCCACAAATATACAGTTAATTCACTTTACAATGTGTTCTGTGAAGCGCTTTGGGACGTCCTCCCGACGTGAAAAGCGATATATCAAATGCAAGAATTATTATTATTTACAGTATATTCTGTGAAGCGCTTTGAGACATCTAGAAGACGTGAAAGGCACTAATCAAATGCAAGGATTATTATTATTATTATGAATGTCCATGGATCTCCAGACCAAACTGAGTTCCATATATGTATGGTTTCTGCTTTTAGTATGGAGTGTGCACTCTTCTCCAGACGGATGCATCTTGCTTGGCTAATCCTGGAGTTCTGCTGCTGGTTGGCAATAGGCTTGAGGATTCCAGACTGTGCTTTGAGGACACTGCTGAATATTTGACAAGCTAAACTCATGTAGTTAAACATTCCCTATAGCTTGGATTTATAAAACGCCCTTCACATGGGTTAGTGTCTCGGACGCTTGCAGACACTAACAAACTTCCTGCTCGAGCATGGAGAGAAAAGAAATAATAAATTGTTTTTTCTTTTTCCACATTAGAGCTCCAGTTCTGGTGGCCCTCGCCTTGATTGAATGTGGAATGAAGTATGAAGATGCCGTTCAGTTCATTCGACAGTAAGTGAAACTTGTACCTCGGCAAGCCAACCCTATGATCTTGCTATCAGATACCCATTGCACATACATAAAGCAGGAAGATTATTTTTAAATTATTATTATTATTCTTGTACTTCAAAACTTGGAAATGTGGTGAAGTATTGAGCACAAATGTTTCAAAAAGGAGCAAGGAAATGACTGAAGTGTGATCTGAAGTCAGGCTTCGAAAGTGAGGAGAGAGCAAGTTGGAGGAGCTCTGGGATAGAATTCCAGAGTAGTGGCAGATTGGGTGAAAGCTTGTGCACCAATTTTTGTGGGACATATCAAGCAGGAAACATGAAGCATGCTATTGTTAAAATAATAAAAACTTTACATTTGATATTGTGGCTTTTATGTTAGGACTTCCCAAAGTTCCTCACAGAAAATACTGTAAAGTACAGTGACCGTGTATTTGATGAACAAACACAGCAGCTCGTTTGCACAAAGCAATATACCAAGAAAATGTATTTTTATTTAAGTGTGGGGTGGGATTGTTGGCTAGGATACTGGGAGAAACTCACTTTGCGAATAGTGTCATGGGATCTTTAATTTCCACCTGAACAGGCAGATGAGACCTTGGTTTAACATCTCATTCGAAGGACAGTTGAGGCTAATGGATTTGTCCTCAAATGGCAATCAGAGCATTTTAATTCTCTTGTACTATACAGAACTAATGTAAAATCAAGTGTTTTTTTTACGTTTAAAATTCTGTTTCAATTTTTTTTAATTCAGGAAACGTCGTGGAGCCTTCAACAGCAAGCAGCTTTTGTACTTGGAGAAATACCGTCCCAAAATGCGCCTACGCTTCAAGGATTCCAACGGTCATCGGAACAATTGCTGCATCCAGTAATGTCCACGGATTGCTGATCGGTAACTCAACTGAAGGCTAAGCAGATGCTTAATGTGACCGGTTCAGTAGGAACGTAAATTTTTAGATGTGCTTTTTAATGTCAACTTGGTGCTTCCCTTCGGAGCTGGGAGGAGGGGGGGGGGGGGGAGGGAAGAGAAAGTGTTTTTAAGCCCAGAAATTCTCTCGCAACCTTCACGTTTTCTTTGAGCTTCTAACAAGTTACTGTATGATGAGTATACTTCAGTCAAGCTCCTATTCTTACAGTGCCCATCACTGAGCTGTGTTGCACAGGGCTGTGATGTACAGTAGGCATGTGTTGCAGAGCTCCTTGCTGCCCTGTTTGCAAGCAATGAAGTTAGGGATATACAAATGACCACAACATTAGCTGAGTTTCCAGCACAACACGTTTTGAAATGCATTTTATTTTCTTCCCAAGGCCCAGTATTTGGGTCACCTAGAATGTTAACTGTTAACAGTTCTGTTGGCAAATTTGGAGATCTTTCTCCACCAAAGTGAACCATCTCTCAAGTCACCTGAATGTGCATTACGGAGCACCAGTTTTTGGTGCATCTCATTGGTTGAGCTTGCCTCGATGGGTCAGTGCAGCATCAACCACATATGCAGCTCCTTCACATGAGCATTCTACGCAGTGGCATGGAAAGGTCAATTCAGCTGGCAGCTCAGTGTATATTTGTACTGTTTACATGATCTGCAGTCACTAGAACTTGTTGCTGCTCAGCAGTGTGCCTGAGTTTCTTTGTCAAACTTATCACCGACTAAATCTTCATTCGATTGCCCCCTTTCATGTATATTGTATATTGTTTTTTAGATAATGCTTGCAATGCATTTGAATGGTTTCTGTTGTAAATCATGTGATGTTACCATGAATTTCCTCACAACCCTTTGCAGTTTCAGCATCTAAATGGGCCTTCTTCTAAATGCTTTAGTTCATCAGAATCTGCATATTGCAATATAGCATAGAGAAGCACACAGTTTTTTCAAAATCTTAAAATAAGTCTTCAAAATAAAGCCTTACAATGTGAAACATTGGCACTCTACAGTGCAACTTCAGGTTGGGCCCAAAACATACAAATGGGTGGAGGAAGGACTATTTAATATTAGTATGTTGCCTTTTTGTCTTGTGCAGAAAATGTATATTAGAGTATGCCCTTTACATACTAAATCAATTTTTTAAAGTAGAAATGCTTTGTTATTGTAGCTAAAAATTCATATTGTACAGTAAAATTTCTGAAACTTGTAACTTTTATTTCTTTTGATGTACTATCGGAGGTTTACCAACTTGTCAGAAGCGTGATTTGAGTTTCTGCTTCAACTATGCAGACCACGACGTCTGTAATATTTTGTATGCCTTTTGATTGCGTAAGTTAATACTTGGATACTTAATCATTTGTTTAATTATGTAATGATGCAACGGTGATGTGTATTAATGTTAGATGAACCATATTTATACTGTCTTGGGAACGTGTGGTATAGTTCTGTGGGAGAAGTAATTTGCCAGTTTTCACCAGCTTGTTCTGAACCTAGTGCGAGAGCTTGTCATCCCAAATAAAAAGTGGAAAAAGCACAAGGCTTTGACTTATTGGTGAGCCTTTTATTACAGTCTGCCTGGACCAAAATGCAGCACATTAGCTATTTACAGCAGTATCCATTGTGGTGACCAATAACTCCCTGCACTGCTCGGGAAATTCTGTGGGTAGGACAGCTGCCTTGCAAACACTTAATTCCAAACGTCAAGCTCCTTTGTCCTTTCCAGCAAATCTACTTAAAGGGAGGTGAGGACAAGTTTTTAATCCATCAGCACAATAATCTTGTGTGTTTATTTCTAGCTTCCTGTTTAGGTAACTTTATTTCTACGCTTCCTGTTTGGGTAGTAACCTTGTTTGCTGCATTTCAATACTGCCTGGTAACCTTGAGTTAGCAGTTTACACACAACTGAATTTGGGGTGGGCAGTAATCTAAATCACAGGTTCCATGGAACTAAATGTTTTACATTCTCGTCTGACTCCATTGGCTCCCTATCCTTCAGAGGATCCAGTTCAAGATGCTGGTCCTCACTTATAAAGCCCTCCATGGCCTCGCCCCACCCTACCTCTGCGACCTCCTAACCACCTACCAACCCGCCCGCTCCCTCCGCTCAGCCGGCTCCGACCTGCTCCACGTTCCCCGACCCACCCGCCCCACCATTGGCGGGAGAGCCTTCAGCCACTCTGCCCCCAACCTCTGGAATTCTATCCCCCAATCCCTCTGCCTCGACCCCTCCTTAGCCTCCTTCAAGTCCCGCCTCAAGACCCTTCTCTTCAACCATGCCATCGGCCACCCCTCTTCCCCTCCCCTCCCTTCTTCCACACCTCCCCAACCCCAGCTCGGATCTGAAATGCTGTACAATGTCCAGGCCTTGGGACGTCCTCCCGACGTGAAAGGCGCTATACAAATGTAATGTACAATCATAAAGTGCTCCAAGAACTCAACCTCTGCAAATTTGCAGTACTCCATGCTGACCTCTCCGCTTAGTGGACTGCCCTCCCACCATTAGAAATCAGGCCTTCAGCCTTTCTGCCCCAACCTCTGGAACTCCATTCCACAGAACCTACACCTTGCCCCCTCCCTTTCTCGTTTCAAGGCCAGTCTCAATGCCTTTCTCTTCGACTATGCATTTGGTTATCCACCCTCCACCGCTCCTGATGCTAACCCCCAGCTCGAGTGTGAATCCTTGTCTGTCGAGTGCCTTGAAGTTGCTATACAAATGTAATTTGTTGTTTGTTGTATCTTTAATACAAAGTTATTCCCACAATGTAAAATTCTGATCACTTCCAGATTCAAGTAGGTAATTGTCATCCTTGTATGAACTTGGTTAATTGTATCTGGTCAAGGAACAAGCAGTGGAGTTTATTGAAAGAGAAAGCTGTTAAATTGGAAAGTCTCACACTCGGTCCTGGCCACATTAGAGTTCAGTTATGGACCCAGGAATTGAACATTGTAGCTTTGTTCAACAGATTGCAGACACCCATCTGCTGCAGTTAGCAAAGTTTAAAGCTATGCTGTCTAAACGCAGAGGAAAGGAGAATAAGTAGCAGGACTATAGTATACTGGCACGTAGGATATGACTGGATAAGTATCAGTAATGGGAGGTGGGGCCATTTTAGAACAGGATAGAGACGAGCCAGAACTGCTTTATTGTCTGTAATGCAAAATGGCATTGAATACCACTGGTGAAAGGGAGAGTAGGATTTTTTAAAAAAAAACGTGTATAGTAGAAAAATTGAGGGGTAAATCTAGACTAATCACCTCGTCCTGACTGTCCACTCAGTCAGTATTGGAGCAAGCAGCTGTGGAAGTTAGGAATCCTTTTGACTAATGCTGCTTACATGAAGGTTACTATATAAATGCAAGTTGTCTTCCAGGTCTTCGGATAATGGGAGAGTTAAAGTGGATCTTTTAATTGTAGGCTGATAATTTTTGGTAGCTGGCACTCATGGCATGAAAGGCATGTTCAGGCTGGTGGGTATATTTTACTGCGAATTCTGTGAAGTGCTTTGAGATGTCCTGACATGTAAGGATATGTAGTCATGATCTTAATTATAGACAGTTTTGTGGAAAGTGCACCAATTTACAGATTAAGTGGAGTGTGAGGGAGTATGGTTAGTGCATTTTAAATGGTGAAGATCTATGAGGGGGTACATAACTTGTTAACATAGTTAACAGATGCACAGAGCAGTCAATGCTAATAGGATGTTGGTCTTTGTAACAATCATATGGAGTGCTGGTCAAGCATCCAAAGTATCGTGTTAAGTTTTGGAGACTTAAACATTACAAAGAAAATACTAGCCTTAAGGTGTGTGTCCAGCATCAATTGTCTAGAATACATTATCTGAAGTGAAGTGGTTTAAGTATGATGGAAGCTGAGTAGATTTGGATCTGTGGAGATTAAGGGGTGATCTGACCGAGGTATTAATTATGAGGCAATTGATGAGCTAGATGGTGAAAAACTCTTCTTATAATAGAGGAATCTGAAAACAAGGGAAAGTGTTCTTCAAATTAGACCCAAATCGGTTAGAAGCCGGATCAGCAAATTTCCCCACCAAGAGTTGTGAGAATGTGGAACGCACTGCCCAGAAGGCCTTTGATGTAGAATCAAGTGGGACGTTTAAAAGAGAAATAAATGGGTCGATACTTTGGATATAAGGTGATGGGAAATGGGATTAAAAGATCTGATGCAATCTCATCAAGGGGTGGCTAGACTTGCTGAATAGCCTCGTACTATACCTATGAGGTTGCATGTGACGTAATGCATTTTGGCTGTAAAAATAGGGACTGGAAATGTAATAGACTCAGATATTTGGGAGGGAGACTTGATAAAAAAGGATTCTAGCCTGACGGAAAATAAATAGCCAAGCCCAACAAACCGGGATCATAGGATTTGGGGGTGGGGTAAACTGGGGCTCAGACTGTTGAGGGGCCATTTAATTGGAAATTTGATAGAAATCAAAACAAATAGCAATGTTTTCCCAGATGGATCAAGTAATTAGTACAGTACATGACCAAATTTATATATTTAAACTGAATGTTAGATTCCACTGTTGTTTGCTGGAGTATGCACTAGCCTATGAGCAATAAAACATTTTTCTTTGTATCCACATGCTTCCAGCAAACAACCAGATCTAATTAATGACACCTAACTTTATTGCTACCATTTGCCTCCAACTCATCTGTTGTCTGTCCAGCGCTTGGGAAGTCCTTCTGACGTAAAAGGCGCTATACAAATGTAATCTTGTTGCTGCTGTTGTTACACCAACTTATAATAATAATAATCCTTGCATTTGATATAGCGCCTCAAAGCGCTTCACAGAATATACTGTAAAGTGAATTGACTGTATATTTTGTGGGTGAAACACGGCAGCCAATTGCGCACAGCAGTGTCCCACAAACAGTCGTGGATTGAAGTTACCAATTTATATTTTTTTGATATAGAAGTAATTATTACCTCCGGAAAAACTCATGGTGCTTCCAGTTAGTTATTATAAGCCTTACATTTAATATACAACAACAACAACAAGATTCCATTTATAAAGCGCCTTTCACGTCAGGAGGACGTCCCAAGGCGCTGCACAGTTGGGTCATGACCCGAGCAGGGGGGAAATGGTCAGGGTGAGGGGAGGGAAGGGAGGGAGCGAGGAGGGGGAAGAGAGTCGAGAGGGGAGCTGAAGGCACGGTCAAAGAGAAAGGTCTTGAGACCGGCCTTGAAGGAGGAGAGGAAGGAAGGCGAAGGCACTGGGGGATGGAGTTCCAGAGCCTGGGGGCTGAGAGGCTGAAGGCTCGGCCACCGATAGTAGGGCGGTTGGGGCGGGGGACGTGGAGCAGACCGGAGCCAGAGGAACGGAGGGTACGGGCAGGTAGGTAGGGGGATAGTAGGTTGGAGAGGTAGGAGGGAGGCAGAATAATTATACTTGTATTTGATAAAGCGCTTTTGACATCAGGAGGTCATCTCAAATTGCTACACGGGATTTACTGTAAAGTACTGATTGTAGGCGAGCACAGCAGCCATTTGTGCAAGGCAACATGCCACAATCAGCTGAGATGTCAATGACTGATTTCTCTGGAGGATTGTTTTTCTGAAATAGTGTCACAGGATCTTTGGCTGATCTCGAATAGGCAAACATGGTCTTGGTTTAACAACCCATCTAAAGGGCAGCAAAAACGCATTGCAATGGGAGTGTCAGCCTAGAAAGGGAGCTCGAAGTCCCAGTGTGGGCTCGGACTCGCAGTCTTCATAATAATAATAGTAATAATAATCCTTGCATTTGATATCACATCGTTGAAATGTCTCAAAGCGCTTCACAGAATATAGTATAAATTGGAGTGACTGTATATTTTGTGGACAAAATGCAGCAGGCCAATCGTGCACAGCAGTATCTCAATCAATGATTGATTCATGACCCAAGAGATGAGAGTGCTGCCAACTGAGCCAGGCTGGCAGCAAACATGGCTGGCAATGGTTAAACCTGGAGGCTGCGTAAGACTTTAAATTATGAAAGGCACGCCACCTAGCTTTCTGATTTAGTCAGTATGTGGGAACGGACACAATGGTGCTTTTCAATTTCCTCTAACGATTCATTCATCGTTTGTTAATATAAATAGATTATAATTTTCCAGTGGAGCTTAAACCATGAGCACAATGGTTACCTTGGATCATGGAATTTGCCACTGTAGTTGCTGACACAAGCACTCCTCACTTGAAATGTTAACCTCTCCAGAAAAGTTAGTTGATCTTTGCCAGAGGCGTCATTCATTGCAAAGCCTTGTTGCAAGTGAGATTGCTTTACCCGTATCTTAAGAACAATTTTTCTTTTGGCACGTTCTGTGTTTCATGTTATGTTCTTCATCAGAATGCAAAAAAAAACACAGTACAAGAAAATATTTGGCCCATCAAGCCCACTCCTTCTAACAATAATAATAATCCTTGCATTTTATAGTACCTTATCAATTCGTTGAGACATCTCAAAGCACTTCACAGAATATACGTAAATTCACTATGTATTTTGTGGGGGAAACAAACACAAAAACAAC